CATCCATTGACCCTATAATTTCACACACAGGTTATAATCAGGGCAAGAGAAAGGTGGTTTGTTAGCAAGAAAGAATCTTTCCCATTCCAGAATCAGATCTTCCTCTGATATCTCAGCCCTCCTCTGAATAATAATACTGAAGCTTTATTAGTTAATCAATAAGCCATGATACAGGGTATGGTTATCCTAAAATAATCACACCCTAGAGCATTTTGAGGCATGAACCTCATGCCTCTAATCAGATTGGGGCAAGATTATCTTTTGGTAACTGCGCCCCTGGGAATGGTCTCATTTCTATTATGAGAAAATTTTATGGTAGAAGAAAATGTGTGTTTCTGCTAGAGAAAGATTAAACTGGTAGTTTAAAATTAGCAGCCATTTCTGCTGAGTTGAAATATTAGTCTCCCTGTTTAGAATGCTCAAAGTCAAACAGAATCCTTCCCCCCTAGTCCAAGTGGTTTCAAAGCAAAAGCATACGTGAGTGACGTGATTGGGATGCAGTTTAGCCTAATAGAGATGCACTGAGGAGAATTAAATTGCATAGAATGACAAGAAAAGGCAGCAGCAAGTTTGCTGTGGTGCTTCAAAACAAAGAAAGCCACAGCCCTTTCTGAAAAAATGGGGTTTGTCTGCTCTCTGAAAAAGTCTTGCTTTCCTGCAAAAATAAGGAAGGCCAGGAATGTATGGATTGCTAGTGATTCCCCTGTATGCATATACTACACATTCCGGTCCCTTAGTTGGAGTTCTAGTTATTTTCTTAAATAGGGAATTTTTTTACAATTTGGAATATTTAAAAAAATATAGAGTTTTTTGAAAAGTGGAAAATAGAAAACTGCAGTGAGGCAGGAAATACACTTTTTAAATAATTATGCTGATCACAATTAAAGTTGGGTGAATACTGTGAAAATGTCCCACACATATTTGTTCCAGTTGTAAAATGAATTCACTCCAGATAGACTTTTGAACTTTTTGAGTTACTTTCTGTGAACTTCCATGTGAGTAAGTTTTACTGGCCTGAATGTTTAGGGAAAGCACATCTTAAAGCTGCATGCAAAAATAATTGCAAAAAGCAAATTTTAAATGTGCATGAACAAGTATCTGCACCAGAAGTGCTTATGCTCTCAGCCAATCCAGGAACTGAAATTGCAACATTCAATATTTGAGGGTATGATTTTTGTTACATTCTACCAAGGAGATGCTTCTAACAAACAGGGGGGGACTTGATTATTGCATCAGTTGTGTGTTCATAACTCCCACTGAAACCAGTCCCTGAGCTTTCTTTATATTTAAGAAGGAACAGCTGAAGGAAACTCCCTTCTGAGCCTCAACTGAGGGCAAGGTGAGAGGATTGGCTCCATCTGTGGGCTATTCCTAGACCTACCCAGAAGCAGAGAAGGTCTAGAAAACAGTCCTTATGCACATGTTCAGGTATTGTTGTAGGTGAAGTATGGGCATGAGCTAATCATAGGCAGAGATGGAAAAGCTTGATTAGTTTATCGAGTCCATTTCCTTGGCAGTACAGAATTGTTCCAGATATCTGCCACCTCCCTTTTACACAGGCTAATGGGACTTAGTCAGGAAGTTTCCACTATTGTTCAGACAGCATTCTCCTTTTCTTAGGGAAACATTCCTTATTTATATTGTGCCCCAAAAATGTGCTAGGCGCTTTACAGAACAAAGAAAAGATGCGGCGCCTTCCCCGAAGAGCTTACAGAATATAGACAGCTGGGAGGAGAGTGGGTGAGGGAGAGGCAAAGGTTCCAGCAATAAGATCACACTGTTTAGCATCATTATTAATTTTATCCTATTATTAGTTATTGCACTAACCTACATTTTTCTTCTCTAGCCTTGAATTTGACACCCTTCAGATATTTGTAGTTATCATGTCATCCCCTGTCCACACGTTGTCATCTCTTAGCAAAGCTATATTTAGCTCTTTTAATCTTTCAAGTCCCTCCTGCCAGTGGTGCTGGAACAATTTTTATAGAGGGGGTGCTGAAGGCAGAAACCATGTATTTGGGTTACTACTACTTCATAGGGGTGCAGCAGCACCTCCACCAGCACCTATGCCTCCAGCCCTCTGATAATTTCTGTGCCTCTTTTCTGTTCTCCTTCTAGTGTATTAGTATCTCTAATAAGGTGGAGTCCAGAAGTGGGCTCCATGTTCTAAATGTAATCACACCAGAGTCACAAAGAGAAGGCTTATTACTGTGATGCCTCTGCATTTACAGCCCAATAGCAGACTGGCCTTGCTGCTGCTCTATTTCATTGTAAACATTTATGGAGCTTGTCATCATCTATCACCCAACCAGCTCTCTTTCAGTATTATCTGCTTCCAGCTCTAGTCTTCCCATTGTATGCTTATGTTTTAGAGTATTTTTCCATGGCTGTATTAATGTAAATTTCCCAAATTGAACCTCTTTTCTGTCCACATTTCTGATACCTTTAGATTCCTTTGAATTACATCTCTGAGGAAAACTGACCACCAGTGAGAACAATGTCACATCATCTACATTTCATTAACAGGCTTAGTGCTTTTCCTATATGATTAAGGAAGATGTTTAAAAGGGTGGTTTGTTTCCCCCTAACACTGATCTCTGTGGTATTCTACTAGGCGCCTTCCTCCACCTCCATAGTATTGCCATTTAGCCTTAGCCAGAGGTGCTTGCAGGCTCTGAGCCTTTGAAGGTTTGTGATTATTTAAGTACAGGGAATACTATTCTAGCAAATAATGCAGAACTTTTGTTGTCCCATCAGGACAATAGTCCTGATGGAGACTCCAGTTTTTAGAAGAATGTTTTTCTGTGCGTGTCTTGCAGCTCTGTGTGCTGAGTCTGATGTGTCACTTTTGCACCCATAGATACCTTGCAGCAACATTTATTTTATCTCAAACTGGTTTGTATTGTTGCCCAGAACATCTCCACCAGCGCAGTTAAGAACAAAGAAATGAGCTCCTATTTAATTTCAGCCGTACACATTTCTAAACTGCTTCAATGTTTAGGTTGTGACTTGTGGTTTAATTACGTGTTAACAATATAATTATAACTAGCTGTATATTGCACCCTAGATGCTAAGAATTGTGCAGGGTTTCAGCCATGCAATGGCTATGAAATTCAGTGGGAATCTTACAGCTATAAACTCCCACATCTTTTTCAGGGCCAGTTTTCAAAGGAGATCACAACAGGGCAAAATGCATGTTCCCTTTTTACTTTAGCTTATGAGCATTATTGCAAAATTGTCCATTATGGGGGGGGGGGCAGGGGAGGGAAGGGTGTTGCATATGAAATATGTGGTGCTGAACATATTGGAAGACAACGTTCCTTTTGTGCCCAAACTCCCAATGACTTTGATGGAGGTTTGGTATGTGTATAATGTTCTGACAACTTCTATTTATGGGATAATAAAAGACCGGTGAGAGACAGATTGCCTAACCTGATGTGCATTTATTGTACAAAGAACAGTTTTAGCTGGTGCTTTTTAATTGATTAATATTTTCAATTGCAGGAGTGTATCTGGAATATCACAATTCTGAAAAAAGTGCACAACTCCCTGGTCATCGTTTGAAGATCATCACTGGATAATGCAGAACCTGATTCAAAGGCTGCTGAAGTCAGAGAAAGTCTTTCTATTACCTTCAAAGGCCTTTTAGTAGGGTCCTCAGTATCTAAACAAATAGGGACAAATTCCACACTGTGCCACTTGGGAGGCAGGTTGCAGAAGGTGCAGCCCACAGCAGGGGAAGGGCAAAGGTGGTCAATATACCATCTTTGCATTTACCTAATTCTGGACTGCTCCACCCACCAGTGCACTCCCTGGCATGAGCTTGAGCAGCCATTGGGGCTGCAAAGTTGATGGCATCTTTGCATGGCTGTCTATGGGCTAAATTCACAGCCCAGATTAGCGGGAATGCTCTGTGCTCTGCCTGTTCCCCTCTTGTCCCTACACAGGGGCGCACCCTATGTGAAGACTCAATATTGCACATATTGTACACAGTTATTTTTCATAATGAATTTTAATATGATCAATTTTAGCATGCAATATAGATAGCAGAAATATACATTGATACAATGGACTAGAATAAGTCTGGATCAATTAAACAATATTAAATTTTATATTATATACACACACACCTCTACCCCCATATAACGCTATCCTCGGGAGCCAAAAAATCTTACCATGTTATAGGTGAAACTGCGTTATATCAAACTTGCTTTGATCCGCCGGAGCCTGCAGCCCCGCCCCCCCCTGAGCGCTGCTTTACTGCGTTATATCTCAATTTGTGTTATATCGGGTCACGTTATATCAGGGTAGAGGGGTGTGTGTGTGTATATATATATATATACACACATACACATACACACACACACACACACTTTACTATGTGTGATTATAAGATTTAATATGATAGTTAACTCAAATGCCAATCTTTCAAAAAAAGTATATATTTCAAACTATTATGTAAAACTGACTTTATAGTGCACAGGTGGATGGCTGTTGCAATGACACCATTGCGCTGTTAGAAATTAATGCACTTAAAAGGTGACATAAGATGGAGAAGGGGGGAAAAGACAACAGTGAATAAAGTAAGCGCTCTAAGCAAAGTCCGTGATGGCTGGAGGTGTCGTGAAGGTTTTTACTGCTAGAAGTTTTGGAGAAGCTGCAAAAGAAATGTGTCTCATAATGTGGTCTTTTCAACTTTTTGCCATTAAAAATTTTATCTGAAACTAGTCTAATACCCTGGTTAAATATAAAGAGATATGAACCAATCCAAATTTTCATAAATGCTGCAACATATTTATCAGACTTCCTAGATTTCCTAACCTATCAGGTTTTGGGAAATTTATAAATATTTGTTGGAACATTCTAGTGTATTATTTCAAAAAGCCATGGCTATCTCTCAGGAAAATACTACCCACTTAGTAAATGTCTACAGAAGACTTTTTAAAAAAAAAGAAAAAAGCAGTAAAACTCCCATCCCCCTCCACGAAACTATATAGCTAAAAAATAACCATGTGGGACAAATGAAGAAGAGACAGGGAATTAAAGGAAAAGGCTGACATTCACTCCCTGAACAACACAAGTGCCAATCTTAACTTTGAAGTTTCTAGCTTTTATATGAAAACTTCAGTAATGTTTACATCTTTTTATTTAATAAATATGTTCAAAAATGACATGTATAGCAATAAACATTAGTGAACATTTCTTATCCAACAGCTGAGTGCAGTGGGACAGAAGACCTGTCATTCAGCCCATGCCCTTTGCACAGATCTAGCAATCACAATATTTCCCTTGACAACATGTCTTTAGAGTGCAGCTTGTCCAACAAGATTTCCACATTTTTATGGAGTCTCTCTTCTTGATCAGAAGCATTTCTTAATTTTCTTCTGAGCTTGTGATTCTCTGCTAAAAGTTCATCCAATTTCCTCTTCAGAGTTTTTGGACTGTCTGTGATATGGTAATGGTGGTCTGTCTAATTTAAAGATAAAAGAAAGCAAAAATGCTGGATGTTTGCTATTTTTGTTAGAATCAGAGCTAATTGGGCTTTAATTTACCAAAAAACCCAAACCAAAACTAAAAAGCCTCCATGGTGGAACTGGGAGTAGCGTGAGGACCTCATAACAACATGATGCAAAGCTGTGGAGAAGGGAAAGAAAGTACGAGACAAGTCTACACTCAGATCCACTTGCAGAGTGGCTTTGTGACTATACAGAGCCCCACTGAAGCCAAGCTAGCAGATCTGATTGAAAGATGGGGCGCTGGATGTAGAACCTACTTCTACAGTTTTCAGAATATTTTTTTATTTTTCACTTACAAAGGTAGTTTAGTGCCTAGGATGCACCTTGACCTGGTAAAGGTATCCCCTGTAAACCCAAGAAGGTGGTTCTGTCTCCATGTCCAATCAATCAATCTTTCAAGCTTCTCTAGGGACATGGTTAACAACAGTGTCAATTGTGACAGTGGCTTTTGAGATACAGACACCTGTCCACTTGGAACTGGACTGTAAGCATGTACTCATTTTATATACAGTGGCTACTGCTAAATATTTAAGAGCTTTTGCTTCATTTATTTCTTTTCCTAAATATACAGGGAAACAGTACTACCTCCTATAGCACTGTGTGATAACTGTAGGCAAATGCTATCTTGAACTGAACAAAACATTTAAAACATAAAATCATTGATTCTTATGTTTCAATATACTAAGATTCTCAGGGGTAGTATGGAGTCAACAGGAGTTTTGAGTGTATAGGGGCTTTAAGATTGGACTCAGTGTCAACAAGAGAACATTTTTTAAAGCTTAAAACAGAAAGAATGTAAAAGGAGGAAGTCTACCCATTGTAGTTTTGATGCTCACCATTACTGTGTCCTGTGTATTACACACCCCACTGGTGTCTACCTCATGAACACAGCTGAAGTTTTCAGTTAATCTTTTGGGGTTGTTCGCTGTTTTCTACAAAAGGAAACAACAACACAGGAATTTAATTCCCCCCTTGGAAACCTCGAATGGAGTGGGAGTGTGAATGATGTTATGCTCCCAAAACAGAATTAACAGGATTCAGCTTTTTCTCAACTTTTAAAAAACGTTTCTACCTTTCTCTCACTCCAAACCAGTGAGAAATTGGAGTCCTGTATAAACTTGGAAATTCAAATGCTCTCTTTCAGGCCAGTTCATATGCATTCACATATGATCGCATGATGCAGATGCTTCATGGCTGAATGTGAAGGACATTAATTTGTTGCACATTAGACAAGTTATTGAAAGACAAAGAGATGGGTTTTCTGATATCTAATTCTGCTCAAAATTCTTTCCAGCAATCCTAGGCTATGGGTATAATCCTGACCCTATTGAGATCAGTGGCAGAAGAGGAGGTTACTCACCCTGTGCAGTAACTGACGTTCTTCGAGATGAGTGTCCCTGTGGGTGCTCCACTCTAGGTGTTGGTGCGTCCCTGCGCCTTCACTCGGAGACTTTTCATAGCAGTACTCGTACTGGCCACACATGCGCAGAGGCTGCCCCCCA